TCTTTTTTCTGTTTTTTTCTTTTTTCTTTTTTCATGGGGAGTGGTGGGATGAAGATGGTAACAATTAATTGGCATCGGGGGTTGGCTCGAGTGGGGGTTGAGGATCTCTAATGGGGATGTTCCTTTTTTTTTTGTGTGTGTGTTTTTATTCAACGAATCTATGGACTTCCACCTTCTTTTCTTTTTTGCTTTTCTAATACGACAACTTGCTAGGAAGATATATTTATCGAGCTACATATGTGTGTATATATCGTTCAATATGTATAACCAAAATATATTGAACGTCTATTTGCTATTTTTTACTACTAGTGATTACCTGAATGGTTTCGATGTTGGTAACTTTTAATATTATTTAGTTACACAATATTATTAGCATAAATGAACTATCAAGCATAGTCGCTTAGGCCATCTCTAATACTGAACCAAATTTTGCACTAAATCTTGCAATAAACTAAAATTCATCTCTAATCATTACACCAAAAGTTTCACCAAATGAACAGTGTTTAGTCATTTTCGTGTCTTTTTTTATTCTTAATAATTTATTTATTCGAAATATTATTTATTTATTTATTTTAGAAATACATAAAATTTAGTAAAGTAATTATTATTTTCAACATTTAAAATTTATTTTAAATGCATATAATAATAATAATAATAATAATAATAATAATAATAATTGTATTAAAAATTATATAACACAAATGACACAAATATCCTTCACCAATTCTTTTGACAAAATGAAAAAAGGGGCAAATTGGATTTTACACCATTTTGGTGTTTTGGTGTCTCCATTGGAGATGCCCTTAGCATGCCTCAATTCAACAAGTCTAATTTAATTTTATAATTTATTATTAATTTATCTATTAATTAATTCATGTGTTATGTCACCGGTAAATCGTTTCTATTAAAACTAAACAATGTAATGTTACAGGAATTTGAACTTCCATTTTTTTTTTTTGAAAAAATATGTATTAGTATCTAACACGGAACATGTAATTGAATATAAATTTTAATGAGATTTAAGGTAAAGAATGAGCTGGAAAATGACTTGCATCCAATTGGGGGTGCGCGGCGCCTATCATTTTCCCATCAAATAAAATCGAAAAGCAGCCTTCATTGAAAATTCGAACCGATTTTTAAACATATCAATTTCAAAATTTCAAACGCGTTGGTTCCGGTTCATTGCATATATGTACAACATACAACATTGAGATTGAATTCGATTGGGATATTCTATAATAGTTTTGGAAAGATATATTTTTGTAGGATCGAATTTGAATCTGAATTGAATGGTTCTATTTTGGTGATTGAATGGAACCAAATGGTTTAATATTCTATAATTGTTTTGGAAAAAATTATTTTTGTAGGATCGAATTAGAATCTGAATCGAATGGTTCGATTTTGGTGATTGAATGGAACCAAATGGTTTAATTTCGATTCTTGAAATATTCGAATCGAACTATCGATGTCCATCTTTATTAATTAAATTAGTTCTTTCGCAATAACAGGCACCATTTTGGTTTGAGCATCCAAGTAACTACCTTTGTGTATCGATGAACAAATTGTAAGGATTCAGGTGAATAAAATTGATTGTCTGCTCTCAAAAAATTATTATAGTTAGGGAAGGGCGAATTTTTTAAAAATGTTTGAGTGAGTGAAATTATATTTTCTAAAATATTTCTACTTAGTATTATTTCCATAAAAAGAAAATTGTATAATTTCTAGAATGTGGACAACTGCCTCCCATGACCACTTATTAGTTATTATTAATAGAACCATGCTTGTATTACAGAATTTTTTTTTACATATGATTTACAGACAACACACATAATGGGGCCGGAGCAAATTTTTATTTGCTTTTAATACATGTGGGGGCCCGCCCTTTGTGATGGGTCTGTAAGACTTCTGTGAATAAATCCCCATTATTCTTATTAATAAAACACATTTTTTTTTATAAATAAAAATGAATGCACAATAATGCCCAACCTATGAGTGCCTTGTTTGGAACAGGGACTGACATCCTCGTATGAATCATTAGAGGTCCTCGCTGATTTATTGCCCGTTAAAAAGTCAATTTTTTAATAATAAAACAAAAATTACGATATCCTTTCACTATATGTCGAGTTTAGGCCTCCCTTGTTTGGTAAGGATTAAAATCAATTTTTAGTAATTTGATAAAAAAAATGATGAAATATGTAGTTGAAAAGTTGTGGATCCCGTAAAATATGTGGTTCAAATTAATTGTTGACATTAACTTAAATTAAAATTTGAATTTTAACCTCTACTAAACAGGGCTAAATAACATCGGTATTAACAAAAAAAAAATTTCTTTTATTCCTATACATATCCTTTTCATTTAGAAAGGAAAAAAAAAAAAAAAAAAAAAAGATTCTTGCTTTATGTGTGAAGTATTTTCCGTTGTTGGAATGTTACACGAATTATTTATAACTTCGTAAAGTTAAATTTAATTTAAACAAATAACAACTAAATGTATTTCTAATTACCGTTGTCAAATATTTATAGCATAAGTACATCCAAATTAGGTTGACACCTACTTTTTTTCAAATTTAAAAAAAATAAAATTCACGGATCAGCAAGTTAACCGCGGCCCGTGAAGGTGCAACCCGCAAAACCCGCGGGTCACACCTTTTTGACCCGTGAAACCCACTCGGGTCACAGGCTTCACGGGTCGGCCCGCGGTCCAAGGTCGATCAGAGCCGATTTTCATGGGTCTGATCAGCCCGTCCGTCTTGATACCTTTACATGGTGAGATAGACGAACATTTTTATTTTTTTTAATACATGTGCAGGCTTGCCCTTTGTGAGAGGTCTGCAAGACCCTTGTGAATAAATTCCCTGTACATGGGGATTTATTTTTATTAATAAAACACGTTTTTTTTTTAATAAATAAAATTGAAAACTTATATGCACAAATAATGCCCAACCTAAGAGTGCCTTGTTTGGAACAGGGACTGACATCCTCGTATGAATCATTATAGGTCCTCGCTGATTTATTGCCCGTTAAAAAGTCAGTTTTTTAATAATAAAACAAAAATTACGATATCCTTTCACTATATGTCGAGTTTAGGCCTCCCTTGTTTGGTAAGGATTAAAATCAGTTTTTAGTAATTTGATAAAAAAATGATGAAATGTATAGTTGAAAAGTTGTGGATCTCGTAAAATGTGTGGTTCAAATTAATTGTTGACATTAACTTAAATTAAAATTTGAATTTTAACCTCTACCAAACAGGGCTAAATAACATCGGTATTAACAAATTTTTTTTTCTTTTATTCCTATACATAACCTTTTCATTTAGAAAGGAAAAAAAAAAAATACAAGATTCATGCTTTATGTGTGAAGTATTTTCCGTTGTTGGTACATAGTTATCCTAAACTTCTTCCTCGAGTCTTGTAATGATCGTTCACCCAATGAAAGAGTTTTACAAGTAGTATTGTTCTTTGAATTAAACTACTTGTATACATAAAGTGCACATCTTGATTGATACTCCTCATATGTCAAAACTTTGACAGTTGATTAAAAATGTATTATCAAGATCAATGTATCAAAATTTATCAACTCACACAAACACAAATGTGTCAACCTTTACGTGATATGATTGGATCAGACAAATATAAAATGTAAATTTTCAACCAAAATAAAATTTGTAGATACATTCGACTACTATATATTTTATGAATTCTCGAGACCGTATTCATCATGTTTGTGAAGTGTTTTCAAATAATTTAAATTATAAATAAATACAAATGAGTGATGAATTAATAAATATTATTTATGAATCTTTCAAAATGGGTAGATAAATATGACTTTTATAAACTTGAGCCAAAATCACCGCGTACAAAAGCGTGCAAATGCTGTTGCCAGCCCCCAGTATTCCGTCTTCCCATTTTCTCACTCTATTTTCACCCAAAAAAAGGAGCGAAAAAGGAAAATCCATCCTTGCATTATACAGTAAAGATGAAAAAACAGCACAAGATAACAGCAGTTAATCCCACTGTTTAAACGAAATACTCTTAAAAAAGAATCTATTTTTATATTATTAACAAGGTATATTCGTAAATTATACTGTCAGATCTCTCTCTTTAGTTTTTTACCTCTCTTTTCCTTACTTTCACTTGATTCTTGTATATAAAAAAGATTAGAGCTTGTGGGTTTTTCTGAAGGAGAGAGTATAAGCCGGCTTTACCGCCTTGAAGAAAATTTGATAATATAGAAAATTTAGGACTTGGTCATATTTAGACAATTATGTGGGCCAAGAAAGCATTGGTGTTACAGTTGTAATCTGTTGTATATGCATACCATTTATGTGCAGAATAACACGTATGTCATATCTATCTTATTATAATACTCTTTGTTTTTGAATTTTTCATACACGTCTTGGGTGGTTGGGAGGCTGTTTCTTTGTTTTTTTATAAGCAGTGCTGATTGCCCTCTTCCTTTTAAAGTATTGGGGTGGCATAGTAGTGGAGATGTGGTGATATATCTCTCTGCCTCTCTCTCTCTCTCTCTCTAAATCTTTTGGTATACATTCATATGGATAGGTTATTGCCTGCACGTTTTTGAATACACATTTTGATTTGAAGAAGTTTTCTTCTCGGGTTTTGGCATTGAGATTCATCATTGATTTCCAATTCTTCAGTTTATAGGTAATTACTGTTGTGCTATTTTTTGTGTTTTGTGGGAAAAAGTTAGGAATTTCGGGCTCATACCTTTTCAGACTAATCGACTACATTAAAAGCAAAAGTTTTTTGATCTACCCGATGATGTATAGTGCTTTTTGCTAATTCATTAGCTGGATTTTGTGTAAATAAAGTAATCTTTGCAACTAAGGAAGAGAGTTAAATAGTAATGCTAAAATGTAGTAGGGATACTTTTAATTTTATTCGGAATAGTTTTGGTTCTGTTTTTGATTTTCTTGATCATTTTGAATCTACAGGTTCTGGTGATTTAGTATATAAGTTTTCAGAGCAAATTTTTGTAGAATGGCTTCAAGATTCTTCAAAACTTCAGACTCACAACCTGGGAGAGCTCCAGGTCCTCCAACCGTTACATTTGCTCGCCGGACATCATCAGGTCGATATGTCAATTTGTCGAGGGATAGTCTTGATAGTGACATAAGCGGTTTGGAATTCTCGAACTACACGGTGCAAATACCAGCAACTCCTGATAATCAGCCTATGGATCCTTCGATGAGCGTGGATCCGCCAATGTCACAGAGGGTTGAAGAGCAGTATGTATCAAGTTCTTTGTTTACTGGTGGCTATAACAGTGCTACCCGTGCTCATTTGATGGATAAGGTGATCGAGTCTGAGACTATCCATCCTCAAATGGCTGGAGCAAAAGGATCTTCATGTGCAGTCCCTGGTTGTGATGGAAAGGTCATGAGTGATGGGAGGGGTGAAGATATTCTCCCCTGTGAATGTGATTTCAAGATATGCAGGGATTGTTTCGTTGACGCTGTCAAAACGGGTGATGGGATTTGCCCTGGTTGTAAAGAGCTTTATAGGAATACAGATTTGGCTATAAACTCGGTGGAACCTGGTCAACCTTTACCTCTGCCATCAAATGTTGGAATGTCAAAAATGGAGAGGAGGTTGTCACTGATGAAATCAGCAAACAGGTCAGCACTAGTAAGGAGCCAAACGGGGGCAGATTTTGATCACAACCGATGGTTGTTTGAGACCAAGGGGACTTATGGGTATGGCAATGCTATATGGCCAAAGGATGGAGGATTGGCAGAGGATAAAGAAGATGAAACTGGCGAGCCTCCAGAACTTCTCAACAAACCTTGGAGGCCACTCACCCGAAAATTGAAGATACCGGCTGCAGTACTCAGCCCATATCGGTAAAGTCATTATGCTTTATTGTTCTCTATACTGTTTCTATAGTTATCTTTGTTTTCTGTTTTGTTTGATTGGATTCCCTAAAATTATTATTCATGTTAATAGATATATTTTGTATTTATATGTGAAATCAATACTATTGAGATGTAGCTAAGGAATGTGATGACAAAAGACAAGGTAAAATATTGGTTGTTAGTAAAGGTCTTAGGTGCTATCGTCTAGTGGAAATCTATCAATTATGCAATGGATTATGGTCCCATCATGCTTTGTCATCCAAATTTAACATCATTAGTTAGTTTACGCTAGATCCTTTTCTATTTTATGTGACATTATAGTGATGCTCTGCTGAATCAAATCTGTCGCCATGGCACAGGTTTTGAACACAAAATATAACAATTTGCCATGGATAATGTGGTCCCATTATGCTTCATGATCCAAAATTTAAATTATATTTATATTCATTATATAACATTTTTAATCGTATTCTTCTGAATTTTCGTAATATCAGTCTGGGAACTATAATAATAATGCCAAGCTCATTTTGTATGGAATTAAGAACTTTGAGATGTACAAGAGGCTGATAAGTATTTTTTGTACTTGAATCTTGCAGACTCTTAATTTTTATTCGTATAGTTGTACTTGGACTGTTTCTTGAATGGAGGATTAGTAACCCCAACGAAGATGCAAGATGGCTATGGTTTATGTCAATTATCTGTGAGATTTGGTTTGCCTTCTCCTGGCTACTCGACCAGCTTCCAAAGCTCTGCCCTATTAATCGTGCTACGGACCTTAATGTGTTGAAAGAAAAATTTGAAACGCCCAGTCCGGCCAATCCGACTGGAAAATCTGATCTTCCAGGAGTAGATATATTCGTTTCTACAGCTGATCCAGAAAAAGAACCTCCACTTGTTACTGCAAACACTATTCTGTCTATTCTTGCTGCTGATTATCCTGTTGAAAAGCTCTCTTGCTATGTATCTGATGATGGAGGTGCGCTCTTGACATTTGAAGCCATGGCAGAAGCTGCAAGTTTTGCTAACCTGTGGATACCTTTCTGCCGTAAACACAATATTGAACCAAGAAACCCCGAATCTTATTTCAGCCTGAAAAAGGATCCTTACAAGAATAAGGTGCGTCCAGATTTTGTCAAGGATCGTAGGAGGGTGAAGCGTGAATATGATGAATTTAAGGTTCGAATCAATGGCCTTCCCGATTCAATTCGTCGTCGTTCTGATGCGTATAATGCTCGAGAAGAAATCAAGGCTATGAAGCTTCAGAGACAGACTGCTGGGGATGAACCAATGGAACCTGTGAAGGTCTCTAAAGCAACATGGATGGCAGATGGGACTCACTGGCCAGGCACGTGGACAGTTCCTAATCATGAGCATTCTAAGGGTGACCATGCAGGAATCATACAGGTAATTGAAAAGACTTGGAATTTATAATTAGCTTTAACAAAGAATGCAAACTGTATATAATCTACTATTTGAATTCCTTGTGCTGTTGTGTAAATCAGCTGACAAACTCAGCCTTTTTAAACTGCAGGTAATGTTGAAACCTCCAAGTGAAGAACCTCTTCACGGGACAACTGTTGATGACAATAGTCCACTTGATTTTGCCGAAGTTGACATTCGGCTTCCCTTGCTCGTGTACGTCTCTCGTGAGAAGCGCCCTGGGTATGATCACAATAAGAAAGCTGGGGCAATGAATGCATTGGTTCGAGCCTCAGCCATCATGTCCAATGGCCCATTTATACTTAACCTCGACTGTGATCACTACATCTACAACTCCCAGGCGATAAGAGAGGGCATGTGTTTTATGATGGACCGTGGTGGGGACCGCCTTTGTTATATACAGTTTCCTCAGAGGTTTGAGGGAATAGATCCATCTGATCGCTATGCGAATCACAATACAGTTTTCTTTGATGTCAACATGCGTGCTTTGGACGGACTTCAGGGTCCAGTTTATGTGGGCACTGGATGTCTCTTTCGTAGGACTGCACTTTACGGCTTTGACCCTCCCCGAGCGAAGGACTACCACTCTGGTTGTTGTAGCTGCTGTTTTTCCCGTCCTAAGAAAAGTTCATCTGTTTCTTCTGCACCTGAAGAACACCGAGCACTTAGAATGGGAGATTCTGACGATGATCAAATGAATCCTTCTCTCTTCTCTAAAAGGTTTGGAAACTCCAATTTTCTTATTGATTCAATCCCAGTGGCAGAATTTCAAGGCAGACCACTTGCAGATCACCCTGCTGTAAAGAATGGACGACCTCCTGGCGCTCTAACCATTCCTAGGGAACTCCTTGATGCATCTACAGTTGCTGAGGCAATTAGTGTGATCTCATGTTGGTATGAAGATAAAACGGAGTGGGGCAACCGGGTCGGATGGATTTATGGGTCTGTTACGGAAGATGTGGTAACAGGTTATAGGATGCATAATAGGGGTTGGAGATCTATATATTGCGTGACTAAGAGGGATGCTTTCCGTGGCACTGCACCTATCAATCTAACAGACAGGCTTCACCAAGTCCTTCGATGGGCAACTGGTTCAGTCGAGATCTTTTTTTCACGTAATAACGCTTTTCTAGCCAGTCCTAAGATGAAGATTCTGCAGAGAATTGCTTACCTTAATGTTGGTATCTATCCATTCACCTCCATTTTTCTGATAGTATATTGCTTCCTTCCTGCGCTGTCGCTCTTCTCTGGTCAGTTTATTGTTCAGACTCTAAACGTCGCCTTCCTCACATACCTCCTCGTCATCACTTTGACGCTTTGCATGCTGGCCGTACTTGAAATCAAGTGGTCTGGCATTGCTTTGGAAGAATGGTGGCGTAACGAGCAATTCTGGTTGATTGGGGGCACAAGCGCACATCTTGCTGCCGTGCTTCAAGGATTACTCAAGGTCGTTGCTGGTATCGAGATCTCATTCACTTTGACATCCAAATCTGCTGGTGATGAAAACGACGATGACTTTGCTGATCTCTATGTCATAAAATGGACATCCTTGATGATCCCGCCTATTACTATCATGATAACTAACTTAATTGCAATAGCAGTCGGTTTTAGTCGGACAATATATAGCACCATACCTCAATGGAGCCGTTTGCTCGGAGGAGTATTCTTTAGCTTCTGGGTTTTGGCTCATCTTTACCCGTTCGCCAAAGGACTGATGGGACGACGCGGGAGGACACCGACAATCGTGTTTGTTTGGTCAGGACTCATTGCAATCACCATTTCACTTCTCTGGGTTGCCATCAATCCACCTGCAGGTAACAATCAAATTGGAGGGTCCTTCCAGTTTCCATGATTTTTAAGGCATTGGGCTCCATTATTCTCTTGCAACCAAGTTTGTATGGTAAATGGGGCCTCCAGTGTAGTCATCAATAGCATAACTTCAATATTATGGTGTGTTAAATTTTTAGAGGGAAAGATAGCACATATTCTAATTTTTTTTTCTTTTTTTAATTTGTAATTCTCAACTTTGAATTTGAAAATAGTTTACTTATTCTTTATTATTGGCACATTCCAAACTTTTTTGACTTTCAAAAAAGAAATGACACACTTTGTATAGAAAAAGATGCTATACTTCCGAAAGTTGATTGCGTAGTAATATGATCAGCAAAATCTGTAATCCAATATTTATTCTGTGCATCCAAGGTTACTAGATGGAGCGGACACACGAGTTTAGGGTAGCTCATGCAGGGCCAACTGTACACATTACTGGCCCAACAAGACTCTAGGCCCAGTCCGTGCAGGGCCCAAGCTTTATTTATTTAAATTTTTTTTGGCAATTGGAAGTAAGCGTCAATAATTGCATATAATTCGTGGGTATAATTTCAGTTATTTTGTTTTCATTTGGTGAGTGGACAACATATTTACATCGCACATTAGCATGGATCATAAGCCGTGAGTCCTATAGAATATGTAGATAAAAATTATGTTTAATCAGCTTGAACATGAAAAAGCTTTACCAAACGTACACGAAAATACAGCACATAATACAAAAGAAACAGACAAATCCATGCCTATTAGCCTTCTTTCACATTTGGAAGGTGGAATCTTGAAGGGAGAGGTTTAGGTTCTCTTGTTTTCCGGTCGAACCCTCTCAAACAGACAAATCCTGTGGAATTCGAAGATACACAGCTTAAACACTAATTTGCAGTTTTAGGACAAATTTTAGCAATCTTCTTTTGAAGATCCCGGTTACGTACCTTTCAAGAAGCACCACCGAACTTCCTCACTTTTCATACCTGGTTTTTACATCGAAATGTATAAATACATTGTAAGCCAATTAATATCAACATTTATTTTGTACTCAAAATTAAGCCTGCACCTCTGAATATTGCTGATATGGTCGTTCCACAATGTAAAGTTGTCTTTGGCAGATCCCTTATAGAAGTCCATGAAACTATAATCGGAACATCACTTGATTCATCATCAGCAAAAACCTGTTTTAAATATAGTAAGCAATAAAGCTGGTCAAGAACAGAGTAACACCAGGATTAACAGTAGAAAGGATGAATATTCACCTCATTAGCTTGAAAGTAAGTTCCATTCAGCGGAAAGCATCCCCTCATTGCTGTTCGGCTTGGCACCTGAGCATACTTTCTATAAATCTTGATCTTAATGATAATAGTTGAGCAAGGTCAAGAATTTCTCACCAGAAATGTTCCGTAAACTGAATCTTCTCCAGGCATGTCATGGAAAGATAAAGACTCATCCTCGTTGAAATTTTCTGAGTTCCACAAATCACGATAATTACCTTATGGTAATTCAAGGGATTTTATTATCGCTAAGATACCATCATGGCATATGAATAATTGGAATAAACTGGGGGCATACCTTGTGTCCATATAGCAAGTAGGTATGGGCATGTATCGTTGGGTTCTCTCTTCGGTAGCTGCACTATTACAGGTTTACAGTTAAATAAGTGTTCTAAGAATACAGAAAATGAATGTACAATAAAGAGATAGTTGAAGTAACACCTTTGCCAAGAGGGTGTGTGAATCAGGAAGCACATAGCTGCATTCAGGAAAAATATTTAAAAGTCATCATTCAGCATATTGGGCTGACTATATCCATTACTATCACTTTTCAACAATTTAGAGCCAATATTCATATTACTAATGCCAACACTTCACATGAGACCTAGAATTCTAGAGCCCTTAGCCTTCGCCAGTTACATTTGAATGGCTTTGATACATTTGCCTAAGAGAAAACTATACAAACTGAGAAAACTTACACTTGATGGTCCGTCCTTATACACTTCATATTCCTCAATTTGGGCAATGGTGTAGTAGTGGTTTCTGGTTTAATAGCCATCAGAGGATTAACCATTTTACCATCTTGGAGAGGGATATTATACTCATAGCTGAATTTATCTAAACTTTCCTTCAACTTGCAATTGTTAAGTCTAATACGAGGTAACCTATTGAAGCCAAAATTTTCAATATCCTGATCTTTAAATTCTAGTGATCTGGACCCTACAACTTCCTGAAGGGGAACTGTCGACGTTCCACTGAGTGCTGGCAGATGTACAGCTAATGGCAAAGAAATCTTCGATTCCATTTTGCTTCTCTCATGTATTCCTGGAAGTGAAAGTTGTGTACTGCAATCCAATACATCCACTAAGTTAACAGCTCATATATAAATGATTTCTTAAGAATAATAGTAAAGATCTGAATGTTATAGAGGAATTTCAGTGTATCATTGAAAATAGTTGAAGTATGGGATGGGCAACGGCATGAAGGGAGACCTTGCGGAAGAACTTTTGAAGTGTTTGCATTCTTCTTGTAATGGACAGGAATTGCAATTTGGGTTTCTCTTTGTACAAAAAACCTGTACAGAAATACCGAGGTCCCTGATGGTTAATGATGCTGAAACTTTAAAATGCATTTCAAATGTTATGGCTCACATACCTTTCCGAAGGTAATCATCTGACAATGTAGTTCATACCTGCATCATATAGATCATAGATATAGGACAGTTAGCATTGATAGTATCAATGCTAAAGTAATTGACACTAAGACATATTTCTTCAAAGACAAGAATATATGGCGGGAAGTTCTTACAATGTTGATGGATCAAGTTTAGACAGCCTTGGCCAGAGATACTTTTGCACAGTGTCGATCTTTGGGTACCTGGACGTGTCATTGTTTGAATATAAACTAGTAAATCAATTGGATTTAGAAACCAGTAAGTAATTCTCACTGTTTCAGACGGTGAAATTGATGTCCTTGTGTAAGTGGCTGAAGCGGAACCCAGCCAAGGCGTACTGCTATCCGCCCAGCATTTGTGTCAATCTAAGCAACAATATGCAGATATTATTATTTTCTTTTATGAGGTAAGTCTACAGATAAACCTATCATCATAATATAATCTTACTGGAAATGCTGGCTGTATGAGTGCCAGCAAGCGCACACATTCCACACTTTTCAATCCCATCCCAGGTATGCTCAACAAGTACTCTCTACAGCCAGATATAGTTCGATGCTTATATTTGAAAAACAAAATTTTGTATGCACTAATCATCCCATATTAGTGATTTACATAGATATATCAATCGTGTGGCTTACTTTGCCTTCTGGTGTGGAACATTTCTTAACCATTCCAGATCAGTACTTCCAAGTTGCTTTGACAAAATGTCGAGGAAATTCTAGAAAAAAAAAAAGAAAATATTGAAAGTAGTTGTAATGTCTTGCTACTGGAAGATACTCCAGTGTGGTTGGTTGAAATGGGATACCTTGATTCTTGTAGCTAAATTATTGTTCATTCCTCTTCTCTCGATGGTTTTAGATATCTCTTCAACTGGTGCGTTCCTAACTGCATCCCAATCTACAGCTTCTGATGTATCATCACTTTTCTTTCTACGGTCACTTTTGGAATATAGTTTCTTTAAATTATCCCAATTGACGATCACATTTTCCTTTTTGGCTCCTTTCCTTCTATGTTTTGTCTCCTCTGACTTTCGTTCCTTTGCCCTCGTGGTATCCTTTCTATGCTGAGAGTTGGAAGAACGTGACCGTTTTGTTCCTCTCAGTTGGACAGTTGAAAAACCAATGGAAGCTTCAGGTGAAGAATTTTCTCCGATTGCTCTGTATGGATATTTAGCAGCAAGAGACATGAAAGCAGAGCTGTCCACAAAAAGGTAAATTTATAAAGCAGTTCGATAAAAGTATCGACATAAAACAAGAACAAAACAGACAAGTTACCTAACAACAATGAAGTTTATTAAATCCCAGTTTACCTTGAAGCATTGTCACTAGCATTCTGAGTTAAAAATGCCCCAACTATAGAATCTATAACTGAACCTCTCCATTGTGAAAATTTCCTATCACCTGCAACGTTCATAATTTCCCATTAATGAATCTCCTAATTTGAGCTCCACTAAAAGAAGAATAAACCTTGACTATATTGAGCTCAAATAAATTAAAACAAAATGTGAACAAAGTACCTTGGATACACCGCACGTGGGAAATAAATAATTTAACTCGCTCATGAAACAAAAGCCTCTCCTGCTCCCACCACTTAGCCTCTTCAGTGCATTCCGAATCTAAGTTTTCCACCAAAACTTTCCATTCTCTCATTGTCCTTTTGTCAAGCTCAACTCTTGCTGTGGATCGCACTTTGGTGCTAAGACAAAGCCTTTCCTCACAAGGAACTAGCATCTCATGCTCTATGTCTGTAATCTTTCCATTTTTTTTGTTCATCTTAGATTTTCTACTTGTATTTCCATGACTTGGACGCTTTGACTTCACGTTAATTGGTTTGATCATCTCTTTTGAATTACACTCTTTTTTACCTTCCCTGCACATAACTGCCCCTGAGGTGCTGCTGCATATAGAACTTTTATGATCCATTGACTTTGATTTAATGCTGACCTGACTTTTGCCTTTCCTTTTCCTATGATAAACATGAAGCAAAACGGGAAAGGGTCGAATCTGATTTATACCGCATTGCTTTTCATCCATTTCTCCATCACGTCCATTTGACTGAACAACAGATGATTTAGCATCAATGTTAAAATCAACAGAATTTTCATATTCTTCGTCCAACATTGGTTCCCTTGGGTCTTCTCCTATTAAACTAAAATTTAAAGATCTCCTGCATGATTTTCCATCACCTTCTTTGCCTGTGCAAGTATTCTGTTTAGTTGATTCCACTGAAGAGTTAGTCAGTTGAACCACTTCATCTTCAGATAGCATTTTTTCCTTCTCGGGAATGTTTTCTCTTTCAGTATTTGGAGTCCCTGGTTTAAGAGTGTCCCGCAGTTGGATGTCAACTTCTATTTTGATTCCGTTCCTATCCGTCCATATTTCTGGCAAGATTGAAGCAGCAGTTGAAACATTGCAATCTTTATGTTTTGTGTTATTGGCATCAATTGTTCCTTCTTCACTCCCTAAGCAAGAATTTTTGTCTCTGAGTTTATCCTGGTTTCTTACATTACCTGGAAGCATCAAGTTTCCTTAAATCAGAAAAACACGTATTGCTTCTAAACAGCTAGCGAAGGAGAACTAGACACGGATTTATTATATCAGGTTCAAGTAATGTAATTTCCAAGCATAAAGTTGAGACGACAACATTGTTTCTACCAGTCAAACAAACATTTACCCTTTAGATTTTGCGATGATAGCATTATGGTAAAACTGGCTTCAATACCGAAAGCGTAAAAAAATCATAATAAAGAAACGATTTATAATCATTTTACTCTGATTATTCAGGCTGCTTTTGACTTTACTTTCACTTGATCTAAGCCAATAGAAATGATCTGCAAAAAAATGTTATTTCAGTGTGTCAAAATCTTAATAGATCTCTCGGAACAAAATGAGTAAAGGGATTGAAGAAGGCTTTGTATCCATGTTGGATGCTAACACTTTCAGATAGTCTTGACATGTGTTTGACATCCTTTAATAATGAATTCACTAAAGCCTTCAGTAGTATTCAAGATATAATTTCCAAGCATAAATCCAAACTATAACAAATTCAACAACCAGATTTTGAGATGATAACTTTTTGGTGATACAGGCTTCAACATAAAAAATGTAAAATCGGAAGGAAGAATAAAGGTATGATCATTTTACTCTGATTTTTCATGCTGCTTTTGACTTTACTTTTACTTGATCTTAGCCAATAGTGATGATCAGCAAACAGAAAGTTATCTCAGCATGTCAAAATGTTAATAGATATCTACAAAAGAACGATTAACGGGATTCAAGAAGGCTTTGTGTCCATGTTGACTGCCAACACTTTTAGATAGTCTTGGACATGTTTGACATCCTTAAAACTCGTCAAACAATCAGTTCTAGATCAAGAATGAAGTTACAAGTATGATTTCCCAGATAATAACAAAGAACGTCATGAAACTGAACAAAGGACTTCACATTGCAGAGGAAGAATCCGTAGTAAACATAATTTCCGAAAAGGGATATGAATTTGTTTGTAGCTCAGATATCTTACATTTTTTATCCTTCAGGACTGATTCTGCCTTCAATGGGGTCCTCGGCACATTAAAGGCCTCTTCGTTCGAGTCATTTTTTATTTCAGTCCGACACTGCAATATGTTTTGTTTCAGAAAGTCCATCCCTAAAAAAGCACAAGAAAAAAGTTACCAAACTCAAACCTATGGAAGATTGCAACTTGAAATTTCTTTAAACAGCATTATTAACTCTAATTCCAGAGCACTAATATGAAAACTGAGCATATTTGGCCTTGCTTTTTCTACAAAAGAAGCTGGCTTTCTTCTGCGTGAAACTGCTTAATGAAAAAAGAAAAAGAAAAGGCCAAGAAGAGGCCATTTTTGGATTTAACCTAAGCCAAACACGCTCGAAACACTGAAACAATCATAGATCGCATAGTACTAAAATCCTGTTCATTAAAGCAGAAATCCACTCAAACTTGTGGAAGTTGCAACTTCAACATTTCATACTGAAATTTACAAATTGCTATAATATCTGTTTCCCTATAATGTATGATAATACCTTGAAACTTGCAAGTTTGAATTTCACAAGTGGAAAATGCTTTGCTTTAAACAACATTATCAAGTCTAATTTATTCAGAATTTACATAATTCCAGAGCATTAAGGTGAAAACCGAGCATTTTTGGCCTTGCCTTTTTGACAAAAGAAGCAGGCTTTCTTCAGCATGAAACTGCCAAAAAATAGCCACAAAGAAGCCATTTTTAGGCTTTTAAGCTAAGCCAAATATGCTCGAAACAATTATAAAGCACACATTGTTAATTAGAGTAAGTAATCATGTCCAATACTGTGTATAGAACATTGCTCATGAATGCAAGTACAACAAAAACCCCAAGATTAGAGAAAAAGAAAACCACACTTCTGAGAATCGATTTATACAACACAAAATCAAATTATTTACTACAAATAGATGGGTTTTAACTTATATACATCAATACCTTCTTTCTCTGAATTTTTTCCCATTTAATGCAAAATCCAGAGTTTTTTAGTCACCTGAAAAAAAGATAAAAGATGAAGAACCTCAGAATTGCACATGCAATTGAAGCAGATGAAAGGTGGGTAGATGAAATCGTACGTCACACAAAACCCACATGCAGAAATGAATTATGCTCCGTTTTCACCAAAAAATTCGTAAAAAAATAATGGAAAATCATGGAAACAATTAAGAAATTGCAGTTTTAAATGGCCCAGAGCCCAGATTCTCTACAATAAAATGCTATTAATCGAATAAATGAAACTGGGTTTCACCAAATTCAAAAAGAGACGTCTGATATCTTGAAAAAGAAAACAAGCCTACCAAAACAACACTCAAATTCTGTAAAGAATAGTAAATTAAGCCATCAGTTGGGCGCATGCAAGATAGAATAAAGCATGGCAACGAATGAAGAATGTTCAGCGGCTTCAGCCCCCCACTCTACTTTTTGTGCTGCGGGATTGTGGAGAAGCTCAGGCAGTGGTTGGAGTTTGAAAATGTATTTTGAGTATTTTATTTTATTGAAGTGCGGTTCTTTCACTTCTTCTACGATGTTCTATACTTCTATTTGAAGGTGCTGTACCAGTGACACTACCATGTTTGGTTATGTTTTTAAGTAGCTTTTTCGCTGTATATGTGAAGCGAGGAGAAAATGGACTCCACGTATAAATAAGATATGCAAGGAGATCAATCTTTTTTAGGATTGGGGGAATGTAATGTCATAATTAAATGTAATCATCGATAATTGATAAGTATAATTTATACATTTATCTACGTCCTTTAATCAGGACTTTCGTTATTGTTCCAAGTATTTGAATTGATATTTACGTAATTTTGGTTCAATTTCTTGATTGTAGATCGAAATTCTCGAAGTCAGGTGACATTGGTGAATGAAGTTTGAAGAAGGTAAGGTTTTGAAGCGTAGATCAAGAGTCAGCATTGGCAGATGAGAAAGAAGAGCAGATAAAAAAGAAACGAGTGTTTTGAATTAAGGCCTGTTTGATCACCCTCATTTTTCATGGAACTAGGAATTTTTTTTCCATTTTCTCAAAAGTCGGCTGTTCGATAGTCAATAATTTGTCAAGAATTCATTTTCCCCTCACGCACCCACTTTCCTGGTTTTTAAGGATTTTGCTTTCCTTTTGATTTGGGTGGAAGTATGTTTTCCATCTTCTTTTTTTTGGACAATTAGAACAAAATAAAAACCCAATGATAAAAAAATCTATTTATTTAATTGACAATTTGCATGAAAAACAAAGTCAAACGAACAAAAAAATTCTATTTTTTTAAAAACTTTTTGGCAATCCAAACAAATTCTATTCCCAATTCTAATAAATTTTATCCATTTAATTGACAATTTCCATAAAAAACAAATCCAAATGGACCAAATGAAAAAATATACCAATCAAACATAATTAATTACATTTACAGTAAAACAAATTTTAGGCCATTCAATTTCTTGGAATTCATTTTCTTTCCACCCATTTTTCATATTTGCAATCAAACGGACCCTAAAAATGAAGAGTTGAAATGATGGATCAAGCAACCAAAGGTAAAGAAGTAAAACGCAGAACTAATGTGCACATCACATGGAGAAATTAGACGATCAAGTTTGATTCATAAAGTTTCACTGGGCTTATAATTACCATTAGAAGGATATTTGAAGTACGAAAACACTACAAATCTATCATCGAATCAAGATTTTAGATCCTTTGCAAGTTAAGAATATGTGAAAAATGGTTCAATTCTATCTAGTACTATTATTGAACAAATTAAGAATATCGATCATTAAAATCATTCAAATATTATTAACTACTAGAAAGATGTGAATTACAAATCATAGTTCTTTCATCAACTGTACTTTTTCTTCAAAGCTTTTCAAATCACTTTTAAGGGTTAGGATAATTAATTTTGAAAGCAATCCAATAGTTGAAATTTGTGTTTCTTTGGTTATAATTAAGCTTATTTGAGATTGTTTTACCATTTTAAATTTGTATAAAACAATTTTATCTTTTAATTATTAATTATTGTTTAACTATAACTACTGGCGTGGCCATAAAATAATGACTGTCAAGCTACGTGACCATAAAAAATAACTTTGAAGGAGTGATATACAATTGAAGAACTTGCAATTTGCATCAATTTTGGTGGATTGTGATGCCATTCTTGTCAATTGCATCTAAATCACTTGGGCGATGATGAAACGGGCTTAGCCCAATTGCTGGAAATATTATTTCAACCAAATAAGAATTGCCCAATAACTCAAGGAAACCGACAAAAAACCCAGCACAATCTATCAATTGATTTAATCAAACTTGAAAAACCATCATATTTATCGAAGTTTTTAATTTCTCTCTTAGTACTTAATATTATCACAAATTATTTATTGAAAGAGAGATATATTTTTGAAGAAGTTTTTTACACTTACATTGCATAAACTTTTCTTCTTCTTCATATTGAAAAGTTTCTTATTTATCTCTTAGTACTTAATTGATTAATTGAACTAAACTTGTAAAATCATCATATTTATCAAAGTTTCTTATTTATCTCTTAATACTTAATTTATTACAATCATCCATAAAAAGAGAGATATTTCTTGAGAAAATTTTTGAACTTACATTGTAATTATTTTTTCATCTTCTCATTGAAACACTTCGATTCATCAAATTTTTTCATCTAACACTTGAATTATCATTTATTATTATTCATTGAAGTGTTGGTCTCTCTTAATATTTAACTTGTTTGTATTATTTATCAAGAGAGGTATTCTACTGTAACATCACTTTAATAAAGTGTGGGCCGTGTTGAAGTCCCTAAAAGATCAATATTGTATAAGGATCGATACTCCTTGTTGTAAATCACAGTGTGGGTCATATTGAGGTCTCGTGAAAGCTCAATAGTGAGTTGTGTTGAGTTCCCGTAAAGCTCGACATTGTATAAGGATCAGTGATCCTTGTTTGTAAGTCACCGGAAGCGTTGTAAAAAGATTGGATTGCACCATAAGTTAATCAATATAGTGAAAAGGCCTTGCTCGTGCCGAAAAGCTTGGTAACGGAGGACGTAGATCATTGTTTTGGATCGAACCTCCACAATTATATCTTTTTCATCCTATCTCCTTTTTACTTATTGCTTTTATATTTGTACTTATTATTTGAATTAATCTATTTATTTTTTATTTGTTTGAATTTAAATTAAATGTTCAAAAAAGTTTTAAAAATCAATTCACCCCCCTTTTGGTTAGTTATTTTTGAGCTATCACATATTTTGCCATCTCTAGTGTTTGGTAAGTAGCTATGAGCGATCATGTTGTATTTGACGATTTGTAACATAAAAGTAGAAGTACAAAGAAATGTGAGTCAGTTGCCCTCTTAGCAACCCAATTTTCTTCTTCTTTTTACGTAATAGTTTCGGTAGGACGAAGGTTTAATATCGACAGTCAAATTATTGAAAGTGCATTATTAACATACATTTACTTGCTTCAAATGTAGTGAGATTTTATGTTGAATTTTATTGCAAAATAAAGTCAGAAATAATAATAATTTTTTTAAAAAAGGAAAAATTCAATGTTGCCCTTGGTTTAATTTAGTGTTTGTTTGAAATAGATTAAAAAGTTGTCAAAAAATCGAGGTCAAAATCAATAAAGCCATGTTTGATAGGCCACATTTTCCAGGAAAGTAGGAAAATATTTTTCACTTTCCACTTTTTTGGCTGTTTGATAGGCGAAATTTTCCACGGAAAATATTTTTCGGATTTTTCCCACACGTGTACAATTTCCATGTTTTTGATGAAAATTTTAAGGGTATTTTCGTAAGTACCCCATACAAATTTAGGCAGTGTTTGATAGGTCACATTTTTCGGGAAAGTAGGAAAATATTTTCCACTTTTCACTTTTTTGGCTGTTTACTAGGCGAAATTTTCCACGGAAAATATTTTCCGGATTTTCCCCACACGTCTGCAATTTTCAGGTTTTTGATGAAAATGTTTTCCCGCTTTTTTGGTGGGAAAATATTTTCCCAGCGGCTGAAATTTTTCTTTTTTTTTTTGCAATGGAAACAAATGTCATAACTAATGGTAAAAAAATTTCACTTTAATAGACAATTTTCATGTAAAACAAAGTCAAAACTTTAATGGACAATTTTCATGTAAAACAAAGTCGAACGAACACTAAATTTTGAAGAAAAAAATTGGTTTTTTAGGAAACAATTGTTTTTCCTTTTTTCTTTTTTTACTTTTTGGCAATGGAAACAAATTTTATAATCAATTGTGGAAAAAAAATCACTTTAATGGACAATTTCCATGTAAAACAAAGTCAAACGAATATAAAATTTAAAAATTTTTCGGGTGAAAAATTATATCAATCAAACACACTTGAAATCATTTTTCCTACAAAACATTTTCTAGGCAAATCTTTTCCTTGTAAAATATTTTCTTTCCATCCATTTTCCACTCTTGCAATCAAACGCATCATTATATTCAATCTACAAATTTAGTACAACTAATTGACACTTGATAAAAAATAGTAATATTACAATCTTGGGCCAATATAAATAACACATATAATCCGAATTCTAAATAAGTAACCGTGACTTACATGTATTTTCTAGGCAAATCTTTTCCCTGTGAAACATTTTCTTTCCACCAATTTTCCACCCTTGCAATCAAACGCACCCTAATTACTTTTAACTACACATTTCATGACATATACAACTTTTAACAATTTTTCAACAATATATTTAATCAGCTTTTTATCAAAATTTACATTAACTTTGTCAAACAGTGTCTCATTGTGTTTACGGGGTAGGGGATGAAAATATTCACTTATAATAAAAATTTGGCATTCAATACCGACGTATTAAAGAAGAAAAATAAACATAAATCTTGATTTTTTTAATTTTTTTGTTGAGTAGACACCAGTATGGTGTGTGTCAAGAATAAAAAGATTTGGCCCCTGTTTTCAACTAAAATTACTTCCAAAAAGAAACTTCAAGACTCCATAATACATATGCCTTGATGAAATGAATATTTACTTTTTCCTAGAAAGGATAGCACGGGTTTTAAACATGTTGAATATTAATCTGTAGGACATGCTGCATGCAAAATGTATTCCATTTTGGAAATTGATGGTCAAATGTATATGTTGGATTGTGATGACATTCTTGTCAATTGCATCTAAACCAATTGGGCGATGATGAAATTGGCTTGGCCCAATTGCTGGAAATATTATTTCAACCAAATAAGCATTGCCCAATAACTCAAGGAAACTGGCCCAGAACCCAGCCCAATATATCGCCACGTGTGCTGCTCTGAAACCTCGATTTCATGGCTAATCTACGGTGACTGTGAAGTGTATATATACCACCTGAATGGTCACTTGAGCCTAATTTTTCATTCTGTTCTGCTTCATGTGTGAGAAGCTTTTGGGTTCTTTTCCTTCATGGTTTCTTCTCTTGATTCTCTCTTTCAATACTTAGCGTAGGGATTAAAACTTCTAGTTTTAATCATCAATCTTCGTGATTGTTTTCTTTGTGGTCCTTCGATTGAGAGTTGAGCTGAGTTAGATTGGATGTGTAATCTTGAATCATTGAGTAGCTATGTTGTGCGATTTCTTTAGGTTTGTTGGTGTCTTTGTAATTGTTTCTTTGTATAGAAGGGTACAATGTGTTTTGTATTCTGAGCCCAAATAATAATCGAATCTTCTTGGTGTTTGGTTTTGATTTCTTCTTTGTGAATTCTTGGTTATTGCTTCTGTCTGTATTGGCTCTACAATTTTTTAGTCCTCAAGTTTAGTGCGTAAAATAAATTTTTAAAATGTATCATTTCTTCCAAGTTATTTTTTTATGGTTATATAGGATGAGATTTAGTATCTAATAAATACATCGATCCCAGGAATTAAATAATGTAAAGCAATTCAAGAATTGGTCTAAATTTAGATAAAACTAAGGTATAGTGCTTCTATTTGATTTGGATAAAAATTAAATTTTAGTAAATTCTGATAAAAATTTGTGAAATGTATGATTGAAAATTTAATAAAAATTGTGAGTCCATTAAACGTACAGTTGAAAATAAATTTTAAGAAATAGGGCCAAATATAGACTCAATTCTAGTAAAAATTTATAGATTGATAGAATTCTTGATTGACTTGACTATATAACTCGGCGGCATTGATAGCACTACTACCGCCAAGACCCCGGCCTAGAACTTCTAGAACCCCGTTTACGGAGGTGATCAAGACTTGCGTATACCTTTTATCTAATAAATGCATATTTTCCACGAATTGATTAGAACATCTATGAGTAATCTGAGTACTCCAGAGACTCTCTACAATACTTTTAGTGTGGACAATTATTTGTAAAATGAAGCGAAAATGAGTGGCAAACTTGCAACGTGAAGTATCTATCTTGTGGAGCCTACAACCTAATGACACTAACATTATCCTATCTAGTATCTGCACAAATCCCATGAGTTGGAAAAATTTCTGGCTCAAATTCAGTGTCTAAATCCCATGGATGAGAGAGTCACTACTCCCCTTTATTGAACTCAAAACTCTTCCAAAATGTTCCAAAGATCGCCTAAAATGTCGATGTTCAAGATGACATTAAAAAAAATACGCATTGTAACGATTTAATCATTTTTCTCGGTCCGTCCTTTCGCTTGTAAGAATGACACGAGAGAGCGACCTGCCCAAATTGGCATAGTCAACCAGTTTTTCCTTCGCTTCGATTCCTTAAAGCAGGTCAGCCAGCCATCAAGCTACTATAGTGATTCACTTTCTCATTCTTTATTATCTTGATTTAACCTGGAATATCTAAAATAGTGGTGGATGATTTGTATAATGCATTTACGTCTAATTGTTGGTCTCTGTGAAATTCCAGTTGCACATTATATTTGTATAATGGTATGAAATTATGGTGGGATCATCAGTCCTTCATCAGTGCAAGTTGTTGATTCCCACTCATGGGAATAGCCCAGAAATTGATTCGAGTTCGAAAAGGGAACAAGAATGTATCTTCCTTCTGAAGAAATGCACTAGTGTGGAGGAATTGAAGCAAGTGCATGCTCAAATTCTAAAGTTGGGATTATTTTGTAAATCCTTTTGTGCCAGCAATCTTGTTGCCACTTGTGCTCTTTCAGAATGGGGCAGCATGGACTACGCATGCTCGATATTTCAACATATAGATGATCCTGATTCGTTTGATTTCAACACTATGATTAGAGGACATATCAAGCATATGAACCTAGAACGAGCTCTGTTTACATATCTTGAGATGCTCGATTCAGGAATAGAACCAGACAAGTTCACATATCCTGCTGTTCTCAAGGCGTGTGCTCGTTTATCAGCTGTGGGACAAGGTATGCAGATCCATGGGCAGATTTTCAAGCTCGGGTTTGTGGATGATGTGTTTGTGCAAAACAGTTTGATCAACATGTATGGTAAATGTGGGGAAATAAAGCATTCTTGCGTCGTTTTTGAACAGATGGAGGATAGTCGAAAGACTATTGCTTCCTGGAGTGCAGTTATTGCAGCTTATGCTAATATGGGCATGTGGTCCGACTGTCTTAGGCTTTTTGGTGAAATGAATCAAATTGGTTTGAGGGCTGAGGAAAGTATATTGGTTAATATTCTTTGTGCATGCACTCATTTAGGGGCTCTTGACTTGGCTATGTGTACACATGGGTATTTATTGAGGAACCTATCTGGACTCAATGTTATAGTGGGAACATCCTTGATAGACCTATACATGAAATGCGGATTCGTGGATAGAGGTTTGTTTCTCTTCGAGAAAATGTCTGAGAGAAATCAAATGTCTTATAGTGTTGTAATATCTGGGCTGGCCATTCATGGACGCGCTCAGGAAGCTTTAAAGATCTTCGAGCAGATGATTGATCAAGGAATAAAACCAGATGATGTTATCTATGTCGGAGTATTGAGTGCTTGTAACCACGCCGGTTTAGTTGAAGAGGGATTCAAATATTTTGACAAGCTGAGATTTGAGCACGGGATACAACCAACAATTCAACATTATGGTTGTATGATCGACCTCATGGGTCGAGCTGGAATGATCAATGAAGCTATTGAGCTTATCAAGAGCATGCCTATGGAGCCAAATGATGTTTTGTGGCGCAGTCTTCTCAGTGCTTGCAAGATTCATCAGAATGTCGAATTAGGGGAATTTGCTGCTAAGAATCTCTTCCAGCTAAACTCTTGCAATGCAACTGACTATATACTGATATCTAATATGTACGCGAAAGCTCAGAGATGGCACGATGTATCCATGACTCGGACTGAAATGGCTAACAGGGGATTAATAAATCAAGTCCCTGGATATAGCTTGGTCGAGGTGAAGAGGAAGATGTACAAATTCGTGTCAAATGATATGACACATTCGCAAGTATACGATATGCTTCATCAAATGGAGTGGCAGTTAAAGTTTGAAGGCTATTCCCCCGACACATCGCGGGTCTTGCTTGATGTAGATGAAGATGAAAAAAGACAAAGATTGAGTTCTCATAGCCAAAAATTGGCTATTGCCTTTGCACTCATACATACATCTCACACGTCTCGAATTAGAATAGTAAGAAATGTTAGAATGTGCAGTGATTGTCACGCGTATACTAAACTTATCTCAACTATTTATGAACGAGAAATTACTGTCAGGGATCGGAATCGATTCCACCATTTTAAAGATGGAACTTGCTCTTGTGGAGATTATTGGTGAATATACATACATATTTCTCGCCTTAGAATATTATGTTCATCCTTCTCATTGATAGGGGAAAATTATGGACTTAGGTAATCCCGGGGGAAAATGTAAATCTATATATGGTAGACAAGGCTTCTCTTATGCAATTACATTTCGAAAACGCTTTTATATTCGTGTGGGATTACGGGCTCACATTTCAAGCCCGCCACGGCCTGTCTTTGGCCCTACCCACTTTGGCAAGTAAATAATTATATTTTCTAGCTAGGATGAGGCATTCATTGCTCGCCATTCATCAAAGATAAAAGAAAGACCAAGTTATATACTAACCCTGTATTCCTTGAATCCTTGGGTTACACACACCCCTCTAATATGGCACTGAGAATCTCATCTGCTTCAAGACCTCTTCTTTCTCCCACTTCCTTTTCACTCTTCTGATGCTTTTCTCCCGGTAAGTGTTAATTATGTTTGGCAGCAATACTGGACGAGATTGAACACCGTCTAGTATTGTGCATCAGACATGCACTAATAGTATACATGTTGGGGTTGCAGTACTTGAGGGGTTAAAATATGCAACTTCACATGAATGGGTGAAAGCATGAGGGTTCAGTGGCTACCATTGGCATAACCGATCATGCCTGGGTCATTTCTTAGCTCTATGTTTGAAATTAGGGTTCATTTGAAGTTCTCAAATTAATCCACATATATATCCAGGGGCGGACGCAGAAGTTTAAAGTTAGGGGGACACAATTGATCTTGCAAAAAAGTTGGGAGAAATTTTACAATTGAAAATTTACGTCCAAAAAAATCATATCCCATATAATTTTGCATTCGAAAATTTATATGGGATATGACTTTTTCGAATGTAAAATTTCGAAATTTTTCGATGTCATATTCCATATAAAATTTCCTAATAAAATGATGAAAATTACATTAAGAAATTTGTATCGCAAAAATAATAAATATTGATGAATTAATTGATTTTTTTTTTAAATGCGAGTTAGACGTCTTTCTTTAAAACTCACGTTTAACGTATTTTTTTAACTATTTTCGATATCTATTTGATTATTCGATATGCTTATAATGTAGTTCTCGAAAGAAGTTTTGAGATAACATAAGCAATTTGTAGATTCGATTAACGTACGATCGTCAAAGAATTTTTAAAATTAGCATGTTATTAAAATTTAAATTTATTGTGGTTTTGTCCCTATTTGGTGGAGATTAAAATCTATTTTTTAGTAAATTTTGATAAAAGTTAAATAGTTATGGATTACATGAAATATGTTATTAAAATTAATTGTTAACTTTGATTTAAATTAAAATTTAGATTTCAATCGATACTAAACATGAATTTATAAAAAAAAAATCTCAAAAGTTGGGGGGTCACGTAACCCCCCAGGACCCCCTGGTTCCGCCCCTGTATATATCATTATTAATATTATGATTGAATAGCACGTGACAATATCGCAATGAATAGCACATGACAATATCGCAATGTGAGTTTTAGTTTTGTTCGTCTTCTGATGGTTAAATTAGTATATTTATTATTGTAGGAATTGTTTTGAATTAAAATGGTGAGACTGAATAATTGGATGGGTTCAGGACCATCTTGGAGAAGTAGTATATGAGCTCCCAGATGTTGGTAAATCTGCAGCACAGGGCAGTGGCTTTGGCTCAATTGAAAGTGTATAAGCCACCAGTGATGTTAATTCGCCCATCTCGGGTGAGATTGTTGACGTCAACACAAAGTTAAGCGAGACTCCTAGATTGGTAAGATGTTTTGTCGTGCTTAAAAGCCGCTTTTTCAGTTGATGCTGAAAAAAACAGCTAGCTTCTTAGTGTGGCCTAACATGCTGATAGTTGTGCTCATTTTATTGTATATTTTACTCCAAAAAGTTTCCCATTTGCTGGTGGTTTTACTGAATTATTTTCAATGAAGATCAATTCGAGCCCATATGAAGATATATGGATGATAAAGGTGAAGCCATGCAATCCTTCAGAGTTAGAATCCTTAATGGGAGTAAAAGAATACACGAAATTTTGTGAAGAAGAAGTTCTTCTCATTGAAGTTTGAATGTGCTTTTTATACAATTTCAACTAACTGGTTTGAACCCTGCTTAAGGTCTTTCATTTTCAAATATTGCTGTCAATTATATTTGACGGGAAAAGGCCTAAAAACCCTATGTGACAAAGTTTTTTATAACCATTCTAATAAATTTTGATAAAATTTGATGAAATACAAACTTCGAAGGGTTGCTCAATTAGTCAGGTTTTGAGTTTGTTTCCCAATGGTCATCAGTTCGAGTTCTCTCAGGGCCACTGAGGTGAATATCTGACCGTAAACTTCAGGGCCCCATAGGATTAGTAGAGGTGCACGCAACCTGATCCGGACATCCACGGTTATCAAAAAAAAAATTGATGAAATATATAGTTGATATTGAAGTTTATCTAAATAGAATAGTAAACGTGCAAACTACATCTATTTGATATGTAAATACCATGTACTTGAAGAAATGTAAGAAGACATTTTTATAGATACCATGTGATAAAAGAGTTTGTTAAAATTGGATTGATAAGATCTTGATTGCAAGAAACTCGTAGCCTTGTATAAATTGTATAAATCTCCTTAAAGTTTTAACCCTTATAATTGAATGAGTTTAAGTTTGTTTGACAACACTATCCAACACAAACCTCATCGCGATCATTTACAGAGTTATTGCGAAGAAACAATGACTTGAACGAATAGCAACGATTAGTATTCACATGAATTTTAGAGACGATCCTTCATTTGATGATTGGCACAAAGTTGCATTTTCATTTTTCGTATACCTTTTATTTCTCTTTTGGCCCTTGTTTGGTGGGAATTAGAATCAGATTTTTAATAGATTTTGATAAAAATAGATAAAATGTATAATTAAAAAGTTATGAGTCCCATTAAATACATGGCTGAAATTAATTATTAACTTTAATTTAGAATAAAATTTTGATTTTAATACGAACCAAACATGGCTAAATTTGTAATTTTCTTTTCAGTGTGAAAAAATTGTCCAACCTTATCATGCTTCGGCTAAAATATGTATCTATGATGTTTACATTTGTATCCAACTTATTAATGTATCCAACTTAAAATATGTATCTATGATATTTTTTTATTATAAGGAGGTAAAACCACAAGGCAAAAATGGTGGGTGTCCACTTATTAATGGGGTATATATGTGTGTCACGCTCGCGTGTAGCATTGACATTTGTAAAATATGTTGACTAACGAGTTAATTTAGTCCCTGTTTGACAATCATTATCTGGATAAAATGAAGTTTTGAATAGTGATTTTTAGGAGAATGTACGGATAAAAAGTAGGAAAAAATTTTAGATTTACGTATAAAATATTTTATTGTGTAAATGTGTAATTGAAAATGAGTCTGTAGAAAAAAGAATTTTGAAATGATGATCATCAAAGAGGGGCTTGATGACTCTTGACTTAACGAGGGAAAAAAAAGAAAGAAAAACACCCTTCAATAGTGTAAAATTGTCAATAATTCATTATACAAGATTGAATTGATGATGCACAATGTAATCGCTTTACCTTACAAATCTAGATTCACTTGGACCTACATGATTTTGGAGGAAGCAATTTTTTACATATTTTCTATTATACATTCTTTTGTCTTGATTTGAACTTCACACGAGTCAAAAAGTTGAAGATCTCAACTCCAATTTTTCTTGCAAGAGGTGCGACTAATTTTTCTCGAGTTTGAATTTATTCAATCCCAAATATTATTTAAGAAAGAGTAAATTTCACACTTGGCTATGCAAATGATTATTTTCAATTTTTTCTTCATCTGGTCTGAACTGAAATGATGAAGCAAGAAATTGGTTGTCATTTTATTGGAATTGTAAAGATTGAAACACTATACAACCTTATCTTGTCGCACTTGGTCATAACTCTTCTTTCGGTCATTTGTCTCGCAACATTATGGGGCAAAAATAGTTGTCATTTAGCACCATTGTCTATTGAGCCAAATTTCGATTTGTTTATATATATTTTTGAGTAATGCTATTTAGCACCATCGATATTAAAAAACTAATTTTGTTGGAATATGACCCAAAATCCTATTGAGATTAGAATTTGATTGGTTAATTGATAAAATGAACAAAAGTCTTCTTTGTTTGGAGTGCAGTTGAAAAAAGGATCAAAGTTCATCAAAAATTGAAAGTTCAATTGTTAAAAGGATTTTGGATAATTGAAGACTTGATTTTGAAGTTTTGAACGGCAAGTCATCATCCAAGCGCTTGGTTCGGGGAGCCTAGGCGCCCATAACGAAATAAATGGTGAAATTTGGCCTAAGATGCAGAGTCCAGACGCCATGGTCGAGGCGCTCAAGCGTCGCGACTGTCGCTCGCCTACTGCTCGATTGCCGCTCGAGCGGCTACATTGTTTGAACAGAGTTATTTTTTGATTTTGAGTCTGTTTCTTGAATTGTATTTCATCCAAAATACTTGTAATGTATTCCTATAAATTTCACACGATATAACCTTGAGATAACATTTAAAAAAATATTGTGTAGTTTTGAGAGAACATCAAAGTGAGAGGATCTAGGTTATAGAGAGAGTGACTTGCGTATTTTGAAATATGTTGAGAGTCTTATGAGATCCTTTTGCACTTCTTTGTTATGATTATAGTGAATTCTTGGGCTTCAGCAGTGATTTTTTTCGAATTTAGGTTTTCATGTTAAATCTTGTGTTCTTGTGTAATTCTTTTCAGCTTGCTCGTCTCGTCTTTAATATTCATAACAAGTGGTATAAGTTCTATTATCAAGTTATTGCAAATCGGTTCGTTTTCTAACAAATTTGACACTAATGTGACATTAAATGATATATATAATTAAATGAATCATTTAATTCTAACTTTTATGGAACATATTACTTAACGTCACATAGATTGGTGTTCTAGCACCAGTGCTTATATTAGATAGCATTATTCTATATTCTTTGGCATTTAGTAAAAATACAATTTGGTCATAGTAATTTCTTATGGTGCTTTTTGGGATTATTTCAATTTTAACATGTTGCTATTTTTAGATGTTGAAGTGGAGATTGCTAGTGACGATGATCACAGGGGTCCTCGAGGAAAGTTTTTGTTATTTTCCCTTTATTTTAGATTTGGGTATAATATTGCTAGTGGTAGGGATGAAGGTTAGAGGTAGTATGATGGCGGCATAGATTCTTCGACACGTATGAACCACATCGTGATTTAATGTCACAATTGGCTAAGCATTCATGTTACTTGTACAATCTTTGTTGATAATTCATATTTGACAACATCACATTCATTCATTTCAAGAACTGTTTTTAAAATCAATGATCTGAATTTTGACAACGCCAAAATTGTTAACCATAAGTATCAACAAGGATTGTACAACAAGATTAATTCTTGGCTAAAACCCTTAAAAATGACTATTCTCACCAGGGGTGATAAAGATTAGACTTTAAAGTCAAGGGTTGAAGATTAAATATGCAAATTTCTATATATTTTTTAATTTCACTCTAGTCAAATTTAGAAGAGATACAGACAGAAACAATGTTGCAGCATTGGATTTGAATTGGAGTGTCTGTCGACAACGTTTGAACAGAAAAGGAGATATATTCATTGTTTGAATATTGTAAGATAAAACATGTTCCAAAAAGTAAGGGAAAGACTCAAACAAAATCATACAATCAGATCTAGTTAATTTGGATGTATAAGGCTGAATTATAAGTTTAATTTGGTGAAATTATTCCTATGACCACTCAAAATTTGAAAACCGGTTTGGTACAAATTTTTTAAAAAATTGAATATAGAAGTAGTTTTGGAAATTATAAATCTCTTCTGAAGTCGAATACACTATTTTCTTTTTCAAAAATTACACAAATATTATTTCAAGATTTGAATAACGTGTTCCTTCCTTCCCTGAGTACTTTTCTTTTATATTTTAGCGTAAGTAATAGTGATAATATCTAAAATAAATTTATGAAATTTTTGCTATCTTATGGCTCCTTTAAAAATAATGTAACACCTTAGTATACCTCTTCAACATTCTAACTAAATCAATAACAATTGGTTTATTTGAATAATTCTATCAGGGAATAATGTGATACCTTACTTCTTTAGTATTTTATTATACCTCATCTAAAGTGGTTGGTTTATATTATAAATTAGTAGCCAAAATGAAATGGTCATTATTTTATTTTTGTGTGGATACTGAGGATTTGTTTGAGCCCATTCTTTAGAAAAAATAGATTTATAATTGTATTTTTTTGGAGAATGTATGATTTAAAAAATATGAAAAAAGTTTCTTGATCCTCCTAGTAACAAGAAGTTTGAAGTTAATTTGTGTACAAACTAAACGACTAAGAAACCTTTTTAATCTGTTCAAAGGGACACAAACCTTTTAGAATTGATTTATAGTGATATTTGTGATTCTAATAGATCATCAACACGAGCTGGTAATAAGTATTTCGTAACATTTATAGATGACTTTTCTAAGTGTTGTTATATTTATTTATTGAAAACGAAAGATGAAATCTATAACAAATTAAAAATCTATGAAGTGGAGGTCGAAAATCAATTAAAACGTGAGATAAAAATATTGAGGACGGATAGAGGAGTAGAATATATTAAGAATTATTGTGAAGATAATGGTATAATAAACAAA